CATGGGTTTTGTAGTCAGGTTCCGTCAGATTCACCGTAGGGACACATGAAAGTCAGCTGAAGTTTTGCGCTACTTGAATATGATTTCAGTAGTCCATAACATCACATATAAGGATTTTCGCAGCACGAAATTTGATGCCACAGTCGATCTCACCAAACCAGGTTTTCATGAATGTTCTTATCTTCCTGCTATATTTTTCCATTTGCGGCCGTGTTGAACCGGCAGCCACAACTAATATGGAGTAAATTTAAATGTATGTGCCCATAATATAAAGCATGAAGGTCATATGTTCTGATCCTTAGAGTACTGGGATTGGTTAAGCTCCGTATACTTAGAAACCTGGACTAATTCTGCAGCCAACTAAGCCGACAATCAGTTTGTGACCGGCCATACGTAGCAGCAGAACTACCACTTGTTTATCAATTGTTCAGCCTAGAATCTGCCAACACCCTTATAACAGCCTTCTATTGTAGCGCTTATCACGCTAGTTGTGGTCGCAAACTGCACACCAATGTTTGAACACATCTTAACAGCGTATAATAGTAATGTTAATGTGATGATTGGGTCTTACAGGGACATGTGGAGCTTCAGAGTTGTCAGGTAGTGTGAGCTCAGTACGTAATGTATGGTGTGCCTGACGTTGTAGGTTCGTGAACGGGACCGAAGGTGAGTCCATCGATCTTTCCGAACGACCCACACCTCTCACATTTTGAGGGCAAACGTTCAGTTTGCTTTTCGGGGGGTAAAGTAGCGGACAGGTTGGAAAACGTTACCTCGGAACAAGCGGCAGAGCTCATAGTCTGGTGTGATACCGGATCAGTGAAACTTAGCCAGGATATGTGTAGGCTACTGCGGAGTAAGCAGTCAATATCAACAGAATATTGTAGTCCTAAGGTGATATGTATTTGCTATGGAGTGTTTTCTTACTACAGCGACTAACCGTTTAGTACACTGCTCACAACCTCCTTCAATAACTTTGCGCTCTGCAGAAATTGCGACTTATGCTTAACCGTGACTACTTGGAGCGGTTAAGAAATATGCACATACATATGACCGTGTGAGAACCAGCAGTTCATCTTTGTCAAGCATGGCTGGACAGTGACAGTTGCCTGTCGCCATTCTGGTCTTCACCTCGACATTCTCTCATACCAATCGACCGAAAAACCCAACCGCTTCCGTTTAGCCGGCAACAGTTCACGATTAAACTAAGTTATTTACCAAGCAGTTACAGATAACGCTTTCCACACGTCATATCAAGTTGTTGGTTACAAACAGGGATAAAAATATAAGATACTTTCGATAAATTGATTCCTCATATGATGCTCTGAACCATACTATTTTACGGTAGTGTATGACTACGGTGCGCCGTTCGATTGTATGGAAGAGGTGGAGATCCACAAACTTTGGACAGAACAAAAACGGAATAAGATCATTAATTGCAGAAGTCTGCGATTCAACCCATGCAATCACGATGAGCATGAGCAATGACAAATCCTTCACAGTGAGTTTACGCGAGGAAGAAAGAACCCAAGTCTGTTCAGCGAGGCGAATATCCTATTACTCAACAGTCAAATAATCACTAAAGCGCAGATCCCTATCGGATGTCATCCAACAGCATGATGCAGAAATCGCCCATGGTAATTTCTTGCTAAAAAACGCTATTAATCTAGGTCTCCTTAGCAAGTGTCATATTCGCTTTTGCCCTTCTTTTACAGCTTCGGATTTCACCGCTTCCGAAATACGTAAAACTTCAAACGGCCTTAAACAGGGAACGCCCTTTCCAGATGGCTTCGTGGCAAACCATCACGAGTTGAGGAAGTTTTACGGTCACAGTGCTGCGTACTGCCCACTCCAAAATTTAATTGTGAGACTGATCAGGATCTAATTATGCCATTTGACAAGCATTGTCACTGCGATCCCAACTCTTCATTTGAAACCCGTCTGGGGCCCACTTTTGATATCGAGATGGCTGTGGTTACGGCGCGAATTTACTAATCGGAACGTTCGTGGTCCCAATCCAACCCGAACAACTCGACTACTCCGCTCCAGGGTTGGGCAACCTGACAGTAGCTCAGCATTCGTGATTCCTTCGGACGGAAGCGTGTTACAGCTGAACGACCATCTTCATTGAGACTACTACTCGTGCATCTCATCCAGAAAGATAAGAACATTTCTCTCCATGTGAATCCACCACTTACAACTTCATAACCTAGGACTGAGCCATTTGATTGTGAATCTCATTTTGGGTGTAACGATCAAGTAAAACTGATATTCAAATTTGTATGCCGCGTTTCGGATTCATACTGACCTCCACAAATGATCTCGATAGCTGCAGATATCTATCTTTTGCTACATTTGAACTCTTTGGACTTCCTTCAGGTTGTACCAAACTCCACCCGGGAATCCGCGGGAACAGTGTCCTACAGTGGAATCGCCCGTCTGCTATGGAAATCGTTACTTGTGACAAAGTGCCTTAAAATGGCACCAAAGGAAACGAAATAGCGGCAGCACACTCAGTTGCAAGATCACTGAATTGAGCCAATTATGGGGCAAATTCTGTACACAAACATTCCTGGTGTCTCAGTGACAGAACTCCGAATTCTTCTGCAAGTGAATCAGCAGCACGCGTCCCATTCTTGACGAAATGGAAAATTTTAGTAACAAAAACGAAGAACGCCCCTACTGAACTAGCGGGTAATCAATCAAAGCGCTACGATGCACGCACCGCGTTCACCGACAGTATTGGTACAGACGAGGCTTTGTAAGACAACAGAGCACCAGCAACAGGTGACTTCCCATACCTGATCCTCAATAAGGATGCTACGGATATTCCTTAGACTGGTCTTGAAAACACTATGGCGCGATGGGGGCCGTTATGCGGGAGCAACTGACAACCTCCCGTCTCCTCACAAGTACGGTTGAAGATGGGACCCAACCAAAATGTTGTTGTGTAAAGCTACTCCCCGTTCTGCCTAAAGCTACAACAGCTATTTGAGCAGTAAATCACGAAACATTTTGTCGGACCTCTTCACTCTAATCTTGCCTGATAGTTACTTTTCGGAGTGAACATCATCAATCACTCCCACTGTTTTTTCCAGAAGAATCAGAATCGCATACGCTTTCGCATTGGTAAGCAGTGCATATCATACTGTATACTCTTTGGCGAATGACGGTCCGTGTCACCGTCACAACCAAGTGGGGTTTACTTTGAACACCTTGATCCAATATGTCATAGCGGGCACCGGTGGCAACCCAGAGGCTTTGTACTTGAATAACTTACCTTGAAACGGTAAGGTAATTTAACCCACATCTCAAGCACAGCTAGCTTTCGTTAGTCGAAACGCACTTTCTGCGTACATGTCTAGGCAATAAATAAGTAAGCATATTAGGTTTAGAAATGTTTTTACTAGGGGAGATGGGTCAATGGTTAGAGCGCGAATTTACTAACCGGAAGGTACGTGGTTCGAATCCGACCACTGCCTCTCGGCTTCCCCTGTCTAGGCTTGGGAAACCTGACAGTATTCCAGCCTTCACGCTTCCTTCTGGTGGTATGGCAGTTAGGTGCCGAAAGGGTGCGACAGCTGGGGGAACAAAGAAGGGCCAGGTTTCTTGGTATGACACCACCCATAATTTTCTGAAAACTTCAACGAGGTGTCTATCTACAAAGATGAACCAGACTCACCGACAGTAGGCATCGGTTACTATACAGGCCTAACCGAATTATGAATTTCGTTCGGTGAACCTAACCCTAACTCCTCGTAGTCGCCGACAATCGCTGCCAGTTCTTCACAACAGGGGGAAGCTCCATACTGAACTCTGTTCGGGTAAGACGCAAACACCCACATATTATTCGAGTAAAAACTGTTCAACTCCACCTTTTATTTCCTCGTGCACCGTTTAGAGACATGTTGGAGGAGGCTTGTAAAACCACCTTAAGTCATTTGACTTATGCAACGATAGGTCCTTGATTTTTTACCGTCAGAATCAACGTTACAAACGGTTTATATCTGAGTACCTGTCACCGGAGAGCTTCCATAGATTCATCGGCCACATGTTCAGTAGTCTCCCACAGAAAAACCGGCATCATATTTTCAAAAAATCTGTGGTCTGTAACAAAGGTGGAATCGGACCTTGAAAAGCTCAGCTACGCATGTTCTTTCGCCTTTAAATGGATTCGGCAGATGAGTATAGAGCGATTGGTCACCGGTAAACAACCTCAGGGGAGAGTCCTCGTGTAGTTGAGATCCGCGCAATCCAAATACATCATCACTATAGAAAGATTAAAAATCCCAAACCCACAGCTTAGTAGTCATTAGTAGCTCTGGGTCGACCGACTTGTGAGAACAATCTGACGTTTCAGAAACAGTCAGCTTATCTGATTGGAAAAGCCGCTGGACGGGCCACAAAATGCACCCGGGAGGTTTGCAAGCCACCGAGTCATCAAAAACCTTATCGTGCGTTGATCGTGAATCCAACTTATTAAGCCGTTAATTCTATCGCAAATTCACTGAAACTCACTCTAATGTTCACATTATTGTATTAACAGCTTTGACCAGGCCGATATCCCTCTCGGTTGTCGGCACGTTTGAGCACTCAAGCCCATCGAGTGAATACGATAAGTAATTCTTTTCCCCTCTGTGAGTTCTCCAAATAAAATAACCATCTATACGACAGTGAGACAACTGTGCTCACGACTGATGTAGATATCAAGGACAATAATGACTGGTACTGTTCGGGTATCTATCACGGTTGGTGGGCCAAGGAAGTGTGGCACTATAACTGTGATATAAAGAAATCTGAGCACGAATTAATATCCTATCTATTAGTGCCAAGTGAGGTAGGCCTGCCAATGTTAATGCCGGCTGCACAAGTACTTACAGGACTCTTGGATGTGCGCAGATCGGTGTCAAAATCTAAACAATCCGCCAATCAGAAAATCACCAACAGTTACGCACGAATCATGGCAGTAGTACCGTAAAACTAGTAGAATACACCACATTGCCAGATATGCTAAATGCAGTCATATATCTACTTGATAATCCATAACGAAAAAATCAATCACTCATTGAGATATTTACAATGAAGCAATCTGAAAACAAATGCTGAAGATGAGATGGTGATCGGAAGGGAGGTTATGACAAAGGAGTAAAAAACGTTAGTTTTGTGGGTACATAATTGACAGCTGCTCGTCATTCAGATTGAGCTGATCACGTATCCTTTTTTCGCGCGCTTTATCACGTTTCACATTACTGGCCTGGAGACGACGGTCCAGTTTGACTGACTTGGAACCTCTATCAGATTTGCGGAAGACTGTATGGACTGCTGTGATGTCGTGCGCCGGGAAATGTGTTACTTTGGCTACCTTTTTAGTTGAGCTAATGCCCAAACCAAGACGATCTCGTTTGAGGACGGTTGCAACGGGAAAACGACGGCCCTGACCCCTCGAACCCAAGCCACCAGCAGAGGATGGCAACTCTAAATTTCTTTTAGAAACATCCGAATTTCGTGGATGATCTGTGGTAGAAACCCGATCGTCTTCGTCATCCACAGTGGCGGAATCCGCCCAACCCATTCTTCGTAATAATCGATAGCCAACATTGGATGGGGGGATCACAAAAGGAGAAGGTCGGATTGGCTTGGTACGTAGTTCAGCTACTTGATGCGCCATGGAGGATAAGTGAAGGGTCAGATCAGAATTCTCTGATAACTGTGAGCCGCAAACGGCACAGGCCGGGGTTTTATCGCAACATTGGATCGGGTCAGCAGGGGGATCGGAATGCACCACGGATTCATAAAACGTACGAGCTTCAGGACCGGATATGCCGGGTTTGAGAGTTGCTCCCCTCTCTGGTTCCGCGGATGTATCGGTGCTCTGTGAATCTAGTTGACCACCGTGAATAAAATGTCGCTTCAGTAGGGTGCTGCAGTTTTCCTATAATGAGAGAAACGAATGAGAATCAATATAGTCGCAAAGCATTAGATGAACAGAAAGAGCGTAAATATGCCGATGAAATGTTTATTTTGAAAGTTAAGAAAGTAAATATGAATCGTCATGAATGTACAGAAGGTTCAACGTTTCGACAGATTCCAGAGATTGTAGCGTCACTAAAATCCATCCCAGGGTTTTCCATTTGCAGTCTTTCAAGTGTAAATTGACGCTCTATCTGATCACGTGTAACTTCATCCAGCTCCGGTTGCCCAACTAGAATTGCCTCCCATAAACAGTCGGGCAGATCACGAGCAGCCTTGGTTAAACAAATCAGCAACTGAAGAAGAAACAATATGATCAGGAAAAGCATATAGCTTAATCGGTATACCATAATGACCCCGCAATTGATTGGAGGAAGTTTGATTTCAGTAAGCCTAGACATGTATGACAAAAACTGGAGCCGACTGGCTCATGAGTACTGAGTTGCATAGAAACTGTGACAAAGCACAGGAGTATAATCATCTGCGGAACTGATAAATGCTGTCCCGGGGAACTGAGGTCCTAAGGACCAAGATGAACCTCACCTGAAAGTAACTTTTTCCATACTGTAGGTATTCATTTCTCTCGGACTTTAGGCGTGTACTGGCCTGGCAACACGTGTAACATAAGCTGAATTTAGACTGTACGGGCCTAAAGGACAGAAGTAACTCATTCACAGGCGGACTCAAACCACAAATTCTCCCAGTTTTTAGCATGTGCTTCTCCATCACTAAAGCATATCTACCTTCTATAGACGCAATGCACCACTCATAAGGCTGCTGAAAACTCTTCGACAGCCTACGAACGGTTTCGCCCTTCTTGAGGCTTATCAGGTAGGCGCAGTCTCCCACTTTCCGTCAACCTGGTGCGGCACATTCAGTTGCTTAAAAATATCATAAACGAGAAATCCAATTGGGTTCCAGACGAGTCCCCCGTCGAAACCAAATTGATATGCAACCGGATGTTGATGTCTTCTCTTTTGGTGACGAAACGTTTGCAGGTAAATTGTCAAGCTCAAAGAACAGATCAACAGCCACCTGATCAACAACCAATAAACCAAGTATAGCATCATCATCATCATCAATGACAGCAACATCAGTGTTGGCACTGATGCTTCAGGTGCCTACACCTCCAACCGCTCAATCAGACAATCTGGAAAGAAACTGACAGCACGAACGCCACTGACATCGATTAGCCGCCATTTCTTGCAACGTCTCCAGCCAAGCACAGACGGGGTCACGGGGACCCCATCCTGGGAGGCGTACAACACCAACAACACCCAAACTCTTCGTGATCTCTTTCAAGCCTTTTTGCCAAGTCATGTGCTGTCCACCTCGCGGTTTGCGCCATCCTGAAGGAGGCACGGAGAACAACAACCGAGTATAGCTCATCCACTTCATTACGCACAAGTCGAACGACATGTATGCATACATTGACTGCCACAGTTGAAAAAAAGTAGACCAAGATACAACAAAATAGGCATCCACCAGAGCTGTTGTGGCAGGCATGATCAACCGTAAGCGAATAGCCGCGAAACGAATAATAGATGAAACGGACCTCCCTGGGGCAAGTAATAGAAGCAAGTGGAAAGCAGAACACTCCTCGTCGAAGAAAACATGTTCGGATGGTTCAGAAATGTTCCCCCGAATAAGGTGTTTCCCTTGGGAGCGGGCATTAATAACAATAACAAAGTCGCATACTTGTTGCAATGAAGTAGGAGTATAATTACTCATATCGTCTGAAATAAACGCTACAGATATAGAAAATTCCCTTATCAACTGGTAATCAGCTCATCTAGATGGACCACTGAACAAGCATTATCACGAAGACGAAAATGATTATTGTTGGGAACTAGTAAATTTTCGTGCAATGTTTTAACATTCTTCAGATGCATTGCGTTCGATCAGCGCCTCAGTCGTAAAATGTTTCAACAAATAGTTCTGTTTGCTTATTAAAAGCCAAGTTATCAGCCCAGTCAGGTCAATGCTTGTCAAAAACAGTCTATTGATGCGACCGCTTAGTCTATCAACCGTGTTTGTGACATGCACTGTTTATAGTGATGGCCAACTAAAAACACCTCGGTCAATCCCACCGAACATCACCATTGTGAAGCCTCTTCTTGGGGAGAAAAACAGGCATTTTTGGAACCGGTCATGGGAGTTTTGTTTCCATGAAGAATATCACAGCCAAAAAATACAGATCCTCAGAATCTCCTTGATGGCGCCTCCTCATTGGAAAAAGCAACACAGAGCGACTGAAATATACCTAAGTACTTGCCATTATTCTCTACTAGAGGTGGAAACGTGAATCAGAAATCCACACGAGTTATCGGACCTCAATCGTAAAATGGTCATAAACAGATATGCACAAGGGTAGGCAAACTAATGAGATGACTTACTCTCTGGTTATCCTCTATGGTCCAAAAACACTCTTGACTTTTCACTTTGCGCCATAGACTGCCGGATAACAAGGGACCAACCTTCTGATGTATGCATTCAATGTGAGAAGGTGTGATATGGCAGTTTATTTCTTTGGCAGATGTACCCGCATCTAAGCTGACCTCAACAAACACTTCACCAGTTGTCTGCCACCATTTCCCCCACGGACAGGGTACGGTAACCAAATTGGCTCTATCATTAAAGGCGGACTAGAAAGATAAGACTAACCATAAGTACGGTGTATTAGCATCAGGGGCGAGAATAAACTATGCGGCTCAGTACACATGGACGGAGACTCATTCAAAATATTGGAAAACGAGCCGAAAAGCAGCCAAAGCGCAACTTGAGTGTGTAACCGGATTTTACCTTACGAATTATGGTTGTGTGGTATCACGTAGCTTTGAAATCATTTGGGAACAAAATTGGAAAATGCTACGTCTGGTACTGCGCTTTGCTATCCGTTTTACAGTTAAATAGCATAACATAATCAAGTAATACAGCGATCCCCTCAGTATCACTCCAGTCACCCAAGTCCTCCCCGACAAAAGACCAGCGTGACCTTCATAACTATCTCAAAATGACCAGCATGTAGTAGCCGCGTGTAAGCAGGAAGAACAGGACAATGCTTTATTTTGAAAGTGCCCCGGGGTGAGAGTTTAGTCTGGAAAGGTAATCTTGGGTTTCACCGTATTATTTTTAAAGAGACCGCACTTACATGCGATTCCCAGTAAGTAAGTACCAGAGAGCTTAACTCGCGTTTTCTAGAACCGAGTATCCGTTTGCGTCTGGCATGAAGGTTGCACTACCCAAATCAGAGTTAGGCTGTAACGTCAACCTGGGATGCATGAATGTACATGAACCTTCACCATGCAGTTAGAGTGGCCTACGATTTCAAATTTTTTGACGAGACAGGCTAGCATCAATTGAGCAGTATTTCATGAAGTATTTTAGACTGAGCGACCTGTATTCTACTTCAGAAGGAGACCATGCATTCCTCCAAAAAAGTGAACATTCAATGATCTGGGCTGCTACAGCTGGAGAAATGGCCACAAAAACAAGCTGCAGTCGAGTTGTGAAGAATATTAATTCATTGAAATGTCCCTACTCATGACCTAAGCACCTGCTCTAATCACCCTTGAACTCACACTCAAAGGTATCTTACAGCCACCTGTGAGTACGGTAATCACAGCTGTCAAAACGAAGTAGTCAGTACTAGGGGTGCCCATCATGGACAACCAAGAAAGCCGAAGCTGACGTTCGTACATTCTGGCTTGTCCCGGGTGGGAAGAAATGGGCCATCACCGAGTAGTCTTCATGTTATCTGATCTTTGAGAAATGTCGCCGTTATGGAGTACTAAGGACCCGAGCTTTTGCTCTGATTGGCCGAAATATTAGTCGGAATCGAACAGTGAGAGCTCGGCACTTCTCCCGCCACGAAGATTATGGTGCAGCCTTGCAGACGATTCTGTGACCATTTCATACGTATGGTAGTGGTAATTTTGCTGTGTCCCATAAAAAGTATGTACTAAGATATCTTACATGTGATATATCACAGTGGGCGGAAGAGCAAGCTAACGACCAGTACTTGAGTTGCAAAACCACAACAATGGGATCATCCCATTTCAGAGGAAGCAAATAGCGGTCCGAATTTAGAAATTCACCACTTTTCTTACCCAATTGATTATTCGGCCGGACTATTCGTTTCTGATTAATGAGGCGACTCACGTCGTTTGGGCCTTTTTGAAAACAGAGGCTTGCCATGGCGGATTCAGTGGTATGCGCTTGAGATACAAATGGACGAGGACGTATTCCAGTGATTGGAAAAACGCGACCAGAGCCATAGGAACTGCTACATCGTCATCAAGGTGACAATTTTTGTCGCTAGTTTGTTAACGTTCCTTTAGTTTGAACTCAGTCGGTGAGATTCTTCAATGGTGATATAGGTCCTCTGAGAAGCCGTGCACCACACAATAATCGGTCAACTGTACCATCGCGGATTCTTATCGGACGAATAACGGATACCTTCGAAACGAATGAGCGTTCACACCATCTGCACATAGAACACTGCTCACTAAAGTAGTATGATGGTTGGAGTAACCGAGAAGGGTTCATATATTTGTGTGGGGTTCTCCGATTAGCACAACAGGCTTCCGCATTGCATACGTCTGAACAGTGGTCCCATCCTGAGGAGATTATACTGGTGACTAAATCGCACAGGAATCAACCTCTTATTGGTTTCTTCAAGCTTCTTTACATACGTGTGGTACCAAAAGACCACAAACACTTCAGAATATTCCAGCCCAGAAGCCGTCACTCAAGAGGACGGTCAAGGAGTGACCGTGTGGATGAAGGATGGGCAGGTCAATCGCACTGATGATCAGCCGCTCGTGGTCGAACAGTTCAGTGGCGAAAGGTCGCCAATTCGAAACTCCCAGGAGTTTCGTGAGATGCACACTGTTGATGATTATCAATAATGACGAAGAATCTGCAGTACTTCGTCGCATTTTCGCACACATTGACGCTACTCGTAGTAACCAATCTCGATTAAAATTTCCAAGTCCTCACACCTTACCAATAATGTCTTCATGGCAAATTTTCGACAGACGTCTACCTTTAATCATGCATCGCAAAATAGCGACGTATACTCACCAGTCATCATTCGTTTCTTAAAGCCCATCCTAAGTGGTCGAAATGCTGATAAGTTCCTGAAAAAAGCAACTCGATACAATCTCGAGTATTCTCAGTATCCATCGACAACTCAGACTAATTCACCTATTGGAGAATAGCTACGTTTTTTCATAATCTTCTCAAGCATCGGCACCGGGCGACTGAGTTTAGTCGGATATTGTTTCATCGATTGGTCCTTTCTGACGTGACTGAAGCCGACCGTCAGGATTTCGTGCAATTGAAAACGTGCATTTTGAAAGGGAATGCGATCCGATGCTGTGACAATAACGAAGAATAGCGATCTGAAAAGAAGCCGACCGTTACAGTGAGTCTGACTGTGTTCAGTCTGCTTCAAAACGTGACCAAGAGCAGACACAATTCGACTTTGATTTCCGTGTTTAAGTCAGTGTGCGTTTGCATCACCCATACACAGATAGAAGTAAAATGAACAGGGATTTGAAACATTTAGTGCAAATAGCATAAAACCCAGCCCGAATTGCCTTCCTTTACTCGCGGCCAAAGTAACGATTCTGCATGCCTAGTTGTCGCATAAACGTCTCACGCACGAAACAATCACAAGGCTTTGAACTTCACAGAGTTCACAGTAAATTCGGAAAGCAAAGATCAGCAGAATGATGCACTCACTCACTTGCAAATTAAGTGGGTGTTAGCGATAGGCCTAACTGAATCTCAGTCAAAGTTCTCGAGTATGAGATTGTCAAACTGTGTACGCTTCACAAGGGCCATCTCATTTGTTTTGACACATTACGTATAAGATTATTGAAAACAGCCCGAAGCCCCAATACCGGCTTCGCACTCTTTTAGGATCACTCGTCTTCATCAGCCTTATTTCCTGCTTGAATGCCAAATGGTTCGTGAGGTGAATTATACATCTCTGCAAATCAACTCGAGGATGACTATATCAATAATGACGAAGAATCTGCAGTACTTCGTCGCATTTTCGCACACATTGACGCTACTCGTAGTAACCAATCTCGATTAAAATTTCCAAGTCCTCACACCTTACCAATAATGTCTTCATGGCAAATTTTCGACAGACGTCTACCTTTAATCATGCATCGCAAAATAGCGACGTATACTCACCAGTCATCATTCGTTTCTTAAAGCCCATCCTAAGTGGTCGAAATGCTGATAAGTTCCTGAAAAAAGCAACTCGATACAATCTCGAGTATTCTCAGTATCCATCGACAACTCAGACTAATTCACCTATTGGAGAATAGCTACGTTTTTTCATAATCTTCTCAAGCATCGGCACCGGGCGACTGAGTTTAGTCGGATATTGTTTCATCGATTGGTCCTTTCTGACGTGACTGAAGCCGACCGTCAGGATTTCGTGCAATTGAAAACGTGCATTTTGAAAGGGAATGCGATCCGATGCTGTGACAATAACGAAGAATAGCGATCTGAAAAGAAGCCGACCGTTACAGTGAGTCTGACTGTGTTCAGTCTGCTTCAAAACGTGACCAAGAGCAGACACAATTCGACTTTGATTTCCGTGTTTAAGTCAGTGTGCGTTTGCATCACCCATACACAGATAGAAGTAAAATGAACAGGGATTTGAAACATTTAGTGCAAATAGCATAAAACCCAGCCCGAATTGCCTTCCTTTACTCGCGGCCAAAGTAACGATTCTGCATGCCTAGTTGTCGCATAAACGTCTCACGCACGAAACAATCACAAGGCTTTGAACTTCACAGAGTTCACAGTAAATTCGGAAAGCAAAGATCAGCAGAATGATGCACTCACTCACTTGCAAATTAAGTGGGTGTTAGCGATAGGCCTAACTGAATCTCAGTCAAAGTTCTCGAGTATGAGATTGTCAAACTGTGTACGCTTCACAAGGGCCATCTCATTTGTTTTGACACATTACGTATAAGATTATTGAAAACAGCCCGAAGCCCCAATACCGGCTTCGCACTCTTTTAGGATCACTCGTCTTCATCAGCCTTATTTCCTGCTTGAATGCCAAATGGTTCGTGAGGTGAATTATACATCTCTGCAAATCAACTCGAGGATGACTATTTTCATAAAGGAAACTACTCACAGGACTGCTGAAAACTCTTCGACATCCCACAATTAGTTTCACCCTTCTTTGGGCCCATCAAGTAGGCGCAGTCCCCGAGTTTCCGTCAACCTTAAGTTTCGACAAATACACTCATTTCCAAATCACGCTTGAGGACCACTTATACGTGATAAGTCCCATGAAATCGGTAGTGGACTGTTGATGAATTTTTATCAGCCATGAAAGGGCCATGAAGTAAAGACAGCTTTCCTTCAGCTGGGGCGCGTTTGGAAGCATGACTGTTGGTCACTTTGGACAATGAAGTTGCAATTGTTTCACGTCCAAGTGTAATGGGAGAAGCAACTAGGCGAAAAATCACACAAGTTAGGTGTCATTAACAAGAGTGAACTACTTTGTAATCTATAAATCTTAGGGGGCGTGCATATTCTCGCGTCATTGTTTTAAGACAGCCTTGATCAATATCGTAAAACGCATTGAAATCCGATGGGTCGTTAATGTTTCATACGTATTACCTCCTCTCATGCGCAGATTCTCGCTATCTGAGCCACGTCACCTAGATGGCATTCACAAATTAAAACCTCATTTTATTCATGGCTAACTTGGAAACTGGTTTTCTTGCCTTTCGGAATGAGTGTATAGATGTCTTCAGAGATTTAGGTAACATGATGGGCTTTTGAAAGCCTTTCGATAAGTGGGAGGTACAAAATTTCAGTCTATGAATGAAACTGATGCTAGCTTTCTCCAAAAGATAACGATACTGAAGACGATTCATCGGACACAATACTGGGAAGTGCTTGAATTATTGTGGTCGGCAAACCACCTTGTTTTGAGGAAGCCATCATCCCAAACTGGAGCGAGTGTTTGAATGTTGATTCCTGCTTACATTTACACACATTATCATAGTGTGGACATGATTGCAGGCAAGGTGCTATATCCACAAGAGACAGCACTGCATACCTTTTTTAAGGTTACGCAAACTTTGTCCCCAATTTCTACTACACACCAATAATTCATCCTTTCAGTCCAACCATCATATTGAGGAGCCCATTTCAGCTACACCAACACGGGTTTTTGAACAGATTAATACCCGCATTTGCGTTCAGCACAGTCTGACAAGTACATAGCCGGGAGATAGTCAGGATCAAGGAGTGCTCATATTGAAATAGCTATATACTCCGCACAAGAAAAAAGGAGGGTAGTGATCACGACGTGTCCTGATGTGATTTATCGATCTAGCTTGACCCACGTTGGTCATTTGTCGCAGAAACGGAATCTCAAAACCATAGGAGATCATCCATCTTCTTCGGTCACTGTACCGATATCAAGCTTAATCATCTGGATTCTCTAAACGAAACGTTGTACCATCATTGAGTATCATATTCTCCATTTGCGGCTCCACAAGGTGAGATCTTCCGCTGAATTGAGCCTACGCTACACGCACATCATAGTTAGCCAAGAAAACTTCTTCACCTCGATGGGTTTCAAATTCGGAGGATCTCCAAGCTCCCCCTGGATGCCCAAGATGCTTATGTTCTGGATACAGCAGCTTTTGCTTCGTAGTAAACCATCGGTTTTTACGGTGACTTACTTAGAAAGACTGCCTCATCAAACCTTTTGATCCCGCAAATCCCGTTGCGGTGCATCCTCGTATGCCCATATAAATTCAATTTCTTTTGAGGATAACGGGGATTCACGTACTCTCATTCAGTTGACTCATGTGAACTACATCAGTCATATCGCAAGCAGAACTCGCCAAAAGCGCTAACCAGAATAAAAAACTACCGATAAAACACTGACTGAATCGATGAAAACAGCGCAGGTCGCGTGCAGCTCAAAGACCATTGTCGGTCGGATCAGTGAGGTGGCCTTAGATGCGTCTTTCTCAGCACATAGAAGTTACGTGCGTACTGGGAGTAAAATTTATCAAAAAGTTGATGAACAGGACACTTTGAGTGATATTTGAAGATCTAAATGTGTTTGGTTGAATATAAGCGAGGAAAATAAAAACGGGCCGTCGTAATAGCATTTCACATACCATATATATGTACCCAATCGAAGTCGTGAAAGACCTTGTTTGGTGGTCGTAACGGACTGCGACTGCCGGATTTCGGGAAGGGCACGCCTCTAACACGATTGAGGGATGGTAGGCTGCCCCTGGTGAGGTGAATTAGATCATGCTTGGGCGACAACCTACAATGCGGCCACCTAGAAGGATCACCATTACAAATCAATCAATCTACTGAACACCCAAATACTGCAGCAAGCCCCACAGATTCACACAAGACAGCCATAACAGTCCCCATCAGCGGAGAAAAGTAAAACCCTAATAGTATAATGACTCTACGACATTCTTCCCACTCTATTTTACGCAAAAACCTGTGCGTTAGCTTGCAGCCACAACTCACAATAACATACCAGTCTGTGGACAGCAAGACATAGAAAAACGTAATCCTCATTAAAAGGCGATTCCAATAAGAATACAACAACAGCACCCCCTTGAGAGACGAGTAATTGTGCGAACTTTGCAGGGAATTCTTTCCCAGAAAAGGCAAACAGACCCTTTCCTAGTGATTGATTCTCCAGGGATCGCCATGGACGGCGGGATTCTCTGCTGAAGGCGTGATTTCATTCATCAGTCATTCTGGCTTGCACACTTCTCAAAAAAACACAACACAAACTGAGTATAGTTACACAGCACAATTCCTCTTCAGTGACTGTTTTAAACTGACTCCACCATTCTTTTCATAGTAAAAGCTACGGCATAATTGTCCCAAAATCACCAGTTACCCCGTCAATTTTGTAAAATGAACCCATGGGAATAATTGTCTAGGTGGCTAGACTGCGACTGATGCACAAGCGTCTAGTTGTATCCTTCAAATGGTTCACTTTTCAGAGGTGACTGCTGTTTACCGGTCCAATCAACTACCGCTGCAGCCAAGTTTTACTGTCACACTGTCATTTTATCTGACTTGTGGTCTATCCTAATTCAGTCCAATAAACAACAACCCGCCAGTTGTCAGCATGGATAGGAACTGCAAGGAAAGCACTCATTTCCTGCAGAGTCATAAGGAGGCTGAACAGAGCTGATCACCCGGATTTCGGAAGAGAAAGATTTTGACATGGTGAGAACTTAATGACTAGAGTATGTCTTTTCGTACACTTGTGTTACCTTAACGAAATGAACCACTCCAGTTATTTAGGATTCTTCAGTATTCGAATATATGTATCTCAAACAGTCCTCCATCCTGTGTTTCATTGTAAGCCCCAACTCAACTCCGTACTGATTTCACCTCGATTGGTGATGAAACGTTTGCAATCCAGCTGTCAAGCTCGATGGACAGACCGACAACCAAGAAGCGCAACCCGACTTACCTGTATTGCGCAGTATCGCCAAGCCAAAATCCCCGTAGACACTACGGGTAAAGTAGGAGGTTTAATGTAATCTATTCTCCTCTGTATCTATTCACTAACCAGAGTAGACAGTGTGCTATGCTGTTGGCACAGGTCGGATACACAAGTAAACACAGAACCACTGATTTCACTCGATTGGTGATGAAACGTTTGCAATCCAGCTGTCAAGCTCGATGGACAGACCGACAACCAAGAAGCGCAACCCGACTTACCTGTATTGCGCAGTATCGCCAAGCCAAAATCCCCGTAGACACTACGGGTAAAGTAGGAGGTTTAATATAATCTATTCTCCTCTGTATCTATTCACTAACCAGAGTAGACAGTGTGCTATGCTGTTGGCACAGGTCGGATACACAAGTAAACACAGAACCAACGCATAATCGGGATTTCAAATTCGGCATCCAATTCAAACTAAAACTGTGAGCCGACAGGACCCTGTTATCTGCGCGGCTTGATCAAAGTCAAGCCATGAATTCTCACTTTGACTGTTGAGGGTGCGAGTAGCCTTATATATGAAAAGCAGCTAAAATTCCAGAATGTAAAGGTAAAATGGCATCAATCCAGAGAACAGTGGTATCTTAGTTCAAGCTCCGTATATTTGAAAGTCAGAGCAACAACAAAATAAGTTGAAGTACAAAAAGGGGTTATTGGGAAAGTAACTTAAGCAAAAAGGACGCAATTCACAGCAAATATCCAGGTCCGACTACCCGATAACTGGGAACGGTTCAAATAGCGAGATCTTATAGAACCACCAGAGAAGATGCACCGCCCGAATAAACTGAACGGGTAGTGCGTGTGCGTGTGGTGATAATAGATTACACGTTACTCTTCACACCGTAGTAAAAAATAAGGCAAGAAATGCAAAGTCGAAAAGGAACACCATTTTCAAGGTTTTTAGATCAGTGGCTTGGAGGAACCGTACCGTGAATAAACTAACCAACCAATCACATTGATCAGGGCAGTAAGAGAGAACACCGGCGACCAACGATGGGTGATTTCCAATAGATAGCCAGCTAAATAAACACCGAAGAATCCGGGAAGTGTTCCAACGGTTGCCATGACGCCTGTAGAAATTGAACAAGGTATTACCAGTTGCGTACAAATAGCAACATGCCTCAAAATACGAGCAGTTTTTGTCACAACGAGTACTAGGTGGATTTATATGAACACCAACAGATCGTTACACATTACCCCGAAAATAATAGGTAGGCTTTTCTGATTTCACCACTTTTGCAGGCCTGCCACTAACCAGAACGCCTATTGGGAATTGAGAATATGGGAGTATACAATCTTCATGTTGGTAACTGATGCAGTTTTAGCAAACCCAAACTCCGTAACCTTCATTTCCCAAGAAAATAACTACTCTTCAGAGAGAAAGGGACTAGACGCTGTGTTAAATAGAATGGAAAAGTGCAGACAGAAAGAGGGGATGTTAAGGGTGCACCTGTCATGTTAAGCAGTCCAAAGCATCAGAAGTGCGTTTGCTGGGTACCAGAAATTACATTAATCAAGTTGCGGAAAAGTTTTTATCAGGAGGAAAACTTCAAGCATATTCTCAACACCAGCTTTTAAAACTGAACAGAGTAATTCACTTTAGAAAGAGATACTTGGCAACTCCTACAACACCTCCTTGTGGAGACGGGTACGTATAGACTACGGGTGAACGGGGAACATTGTTCTGCAATCACTAAAGTGGACTGTCTCGATTGATTACTGTCTCCAAATTAAGGCATTAATAAAACCAACAGAGAAGTCTACAAACAGCAGAGGTTTAGCAGTGGTGACTAAATTCCAGGTGGCACAGCAGCCATGTGGGCGGGGGCAAGCGACAGGTAACATCGATGTTAAAAAAACTACCAATTAGTAAGCACCTTTCCCACGCTATCGTAGGTGACACAGCACACGGCTGTGATAGGAGCTCAGAGGACTGACACACAGAATAGCTACATTATGTACACAAGCTGTGCTCAATGCTCACTAACCCTGTAAGCCAACTGGTATACTGCAACATGCGTGCCAGGAATCACATGAGACATTGTCATATCCCTTGAAGAGAGATTAACGGAAGCAAACAACTAACCATACATCTGTCCACCGTGCTGAGGAGCAATGTCTTGCGCATTCAAAAGGACACCACTGCTGTGGAATCCCAAACACCCGAGAGCCAAGGCCATGGAAGCCAATGAAGCGTAGTAGCTTTCCAATACGGACAGCAACAAGAGAAAAATTGCTGAACCAAGCAGGACGACCGTCTAGACAATAGAGAGAAGACTGTATAGAAAGCCGGAGGATGAAATACTCGTTTCTTACATACACAGCCGACTAACGTGGTTGGGGTATGTAACATTCTAGCTCTGATAATATGTCTACGCGTATATACAAACATGGAGCCATTTGACAGTCAATTGCTTTCACTGTCAACAATGCGATGTCAGACACCTTCAATGAACGTATGATACGTAACCCATGAGAAAAAGACCAGAACTACAACGAAAACAGTTGAAGCCAGTGAGAGATAAATTCGGTTCAATCCATGAAAGAACGATCATTCAGTTTGCCCGCTATAAATACGCAAAATACCCGTTGATGGTAGGTAGTTCCGTTAATGGAGAATACGGGGTAACGATGGAGGGCAGGTACAGGATGATGGCTATGGAATGAGTTCATTGAAGCTGAGTCGCTTCAGTTTACACATGAAAGCAAGGCGACAGCTATGAGGAACGCGTACAACCAGCTGTGGGTCGCATCTGTCAGCGTCACTGGCTACCAGTGGGCGGCAGATCAGACACGAATTATCTGTCAGGTAGGTCACAAACTGAAGTAGAACTATCTTCTAGGAAAGAAGTTATCCATTCTTTGCATCTGTCTACTTTGAGATGTTATACACGAATTAGCGAACAAGATACTGCCAGATTTCGTCATGAGACTAGTAAAAACAAACTTGAGTGGTCCAAGGGGCATGGAAGTAAGGGGACCTCCTCTATATTCCTGGATCTTCAGTGGACGATCAAGTCACAAACCGGTTGTAAAGAACAACTGTTGACCTGGCATCACAACCACCGTTAAATCATGATTCTTGAAGTGCCTTCATGCAACTACTGAGGAGAAGCCTTTTTCATAGAACGAGATGTGAATCGTCAGTGTTGTCAGTAATCGATATAGAGTGGATCGATGCAAAACTAGGAGAAATGACATCTGATATACAGATGCCATAAACAACGTGTGACGCCAAATAGCTTTAGTATTTGTAAGGGCAAGTTTACTCATTTGTGTGAGCGAAGTTTCAGGAAAATCTTGCGATGTTTCGATGAATGAGAATTTAAAAAAACCGTACGTGACTGGCAGATTAACAAGTACCGCGAATCGAGAGTTGCAGCAACCCGTCACAACCCAAAACAATCAAGCCAGTTCATGTGAAAGACTGCGTGATCAATTCCAGTTTGGATTAGGACCATATATTAGAAACAGTATGTTTGACGCACGATCCCTTGCCTAGATCGCTGTTCTGTCAGTCCCATCGCTGTAGAACGGTCCACAGCTGCAGAAAAATCAGTCATCATACCTATCATCTACAGCAACACCAGCAGTATTTTACTACAGTAAACCCAGCGCTTTGATGGACAACAAAGATGTTAATCTTGTATCCGCTGTGATCCATAGGCATCCAAGAGGATGCGCACTTGGTGGCTATTTTTATCAGTTCGATGGTGTGTGAAACCCATATGAAGGTCGATTATTCTCCAGGTCATTGGTTTCACTTAACTTGTGGTGTTTCAGAAAGCGTGTACAGAACTACTGCAGTCACAGCAACTGTTAATAGTAACAGAGCTGTTGAGTAGTATCACTAGACAAGCTGTCCCATGTGTAATAGAAAGTCAGTCAGCTATGAATTCGAAGATGTGACTTCCATTTGTCTGTATACGAAAGGATTGCCCAGACATTCCCAGACCACCCATACGTCATTTGCTACCGGTCCACGTGCACAGCAGCGAAAAACTGCTATGGTGAACACCCACGGTATAGAATAAAACTGCGAACCGGTTAGTTTTCTCCACACGAAACATTATATACATGACATATATATGTAAGGTTAAATCAACTATACGCTCTGCCATCCCACCACGTAGCACAGACATCTGACCGCGGTATGCAGAAATGTCTCCGTCCCTCATTAAGGGTGGAATGGGCGACATGCCAAATCCTTTTGTGTAGAAGTTTTTCTTATTTAAAACTGTGAAGTAACCACATCTGCATTACAGCAAAACGAAATGGCGCTGGATGGAAATGCACGAAAATGAAAATGGTACTAAAACGATACAATGTGGGGGGGGGGGGACGTGAGCGAATTCCAAAAGCTTCACCTATGTGAGGTTCTCCGCTCACCAGGTAGGTTAGGCAGATTGTGCGACCCTTTAGTTGGCAGTCACAACCACGCATCAGTTGATTAGTCTTGGCGCCCTGTTTGATTTGAACGCTGGTGAGTGGTACTGAGACCTACAAGTTGTGACTGTTAGTTAAGTTATCACGCGACCGGTGAGATCTGGACACATTTACTGTATGTTGTGTCGTCCGGAGGTAACCCGTCAACTTGCGTAAGGAAGAAGCCAAAGTCGAGCACAGGAACAGGTCTTTTTTGTCGCTAAATAATGCGGTTATATACATCGGAAAATGGCAGGAATTGGCTGGGACTTGCTCTTCACCGAATAACCAATAGGAAACAACAGTTATGCATGATCGGGTAGACAACTAACGAAATGCAACGACCAATGGAGTCACATGTGAGAGTGGAACGATGATAAATCAATAGGGGCTCAGCACGATGCAATCTGGTGGCTGAACATGTGATGACGACAAATATAAGCAAAATGTGAGAATTGATCAGAATCGATCAGTCCGTAGTTAAGACGAAATTTTTGGCAATTAACAGTTCCGTTCTGGTAACATCTCCCCCTTTAAAAATTTGGTTACCTGGGCTATGCATAACTTTGTCTTCTTGGGTCAACCTGGAATGGTTGCACGAACCTTCGTTTTCGTTTCGGTCTCGATCCCCTTTCGTGCGGATTTGTATCGTCCCGCTTTTGATTCATTGTATTTGCTGCTCTGGTTTCACCTATATCCAACAACTGGTTAAGGCTCAGTTCCCCTGTATTCGGCGCTGAGTTCATTGTTGAATGGCGCATCTTCAACTGATTCGCATGGCGGATCCACCTTTTCTTTCCGACTTGGACGTCGTATAAGACGTTTCCACGGCGCCGCAGGATGCATCCAGGCTGCCAGGTTGTCCGATTGTTTCCAAAATCCAATGCAAGTACTGAGTCACCAACACGGAACTTCCTTTTGCGTGCACCATGATGTTGATTGAATTGATGTTCCATCTTATGATTCCTGACTTCTAATTTTGGTCGTTTAGGAGAATTGATCAGAATCGATCAGTCCGTAGTTAGGACGAAATTTTGGGCAGTTAACAGTTCGTTCTGGTAACACTGTAAACACCAAGTTTGATTCTCATGGTTTGGTAATTATCAAGGCCTTCTCGAGGATCGATGGCCAGGTAAACAGCCAAGCAGACTAGTCACCAGTGCTTAGTTTGACTAAGTTGACTCATTTGGCTTGAATTAACAGTTCTTAAAGCTCTGGACGACTTTCACGCTTCACAGACCAATGAACAACTTCCCCTCTCTACTGCGATTTTGAAGGAAACAAATCCAGTCATTTGTGCTTTGACATAGCCGAACTCGACCAGATAATCCAGCAACATCGACCCCGATGGTGTGAACACGTTCTCTGCACGCCAATAATAGCGTCGCCAGGGTGGTCAGCTGAAAACCTGGATGGATCGTGGATCTAGATGCTGTCTACGGTCCACGCTGATGGAACTTAATACTGGATCAATGAGAGCCCTTCCAACGCACTTGGTTGGCTGCGATTCGAGGGATCCAAGAAGACGGCTTATTCTCAGACGGGAGATGACCGAAGTAAAGCAAAGTTGTTAGGTAAGTAATTCGTATAGCCCAACGGCAAAAACTTGACCTGTCGGAAGTAAGATGTAGAAGACCATACGGTTGTATTGAAGAATGACGCGGGGTATGTGATCTACAGTACAAGAGAAGCAAGAAGTCGAAGTGCGAACGATGGCAGACCTTTCATGGAAAAAAGAATAACTGCCGTGAAAAGCAACTACGATACCGGTAGAAATCCATGTGTCTCTCTGTAGGTATGAAAAAACTCCACCGATATCTTTCTCAGCTGACTGATCAATGACACATGATATCAGACTGCTGCAGCATTAGATTTGTACGTTTACTATCCGAACAAGAAAGTTGTAAGTACAGGTTGTGATTGCGTTATCATTAACACTGACAGGAAATATAACGAGGCTACCAAGACACCTAATCAATTGTCCGGGCGCCACACAAGAACAGAAACGGCTAACGGGTTTCTGAAACAGTTAGGTGCTGGGCATAATTTGCATAAGTGAAAACTTACGTTAACAGCTTTGCGTACAAAGGTCGCATCTACACCTGAAAGTTAGGATGAACGCAGGAGTAATGAAATGAAGCGACGATTCGTGACGAAACGGATGCTGAACTGCAATAGCGTGAATCCTACAGAAAAATTAGGCCTAGTGATGTGCCCGCTCGGTGCAGTCGCCATGAAAACCGAGCGATTGCTCTAGTTTACACACGAGCGATTAGAAAGCCAGATGTGGGTTCGGACTTCTGATCCCCTGGCACTACTGAGCTTCATCAAATCAAGCCAAACTGCAGTAAACGTTGAAGCTTCCGGTTTGTTAGTTACTTGTACGAGGCTATAGCGACAGTGTGATAGGCTCTCGACAGCCTGTCGACAGCATATTTGTCAAGCTTTGCGAACAAAACAAAGATACCGTTCAATGTAGTTAAAGTGAGGACCAGTGTGGTCTGGATAGGTCAAATCTGCGAAGATAGTTCACACCGACATAGTGAACAGTACAGAGAATTCCCAGCAGTTCAGGTGGTGAGCATGAAGCCGAATATGAAAGCTACAATCATGCATTCGATGTGTGCATCATTCCTAGTGCATATGGTCTGTGCAGTTAAGTGGTCTTCGGAGGTGAAGACTGTTGATCAGTCCCAGCTACTGTGGGCTATCATGACTTCAGGGATAACTACACGGCGACATCGTTCAAGTGGAATAAAACTCCGGAGTAACCAGCGGTCGAACAGAAAAATTGTGCACCTGAACTGCAAGAAGTTGTGTTCTACATTTGACTTGACTGTTGCTTACCTTGGGCAATCCACCGGTCTGCGATCATGCCACCAAGAAGAACCGATGGAAACATCACCAACCATGGAAAGGTATTAAACACCCAGCTCTGTGAAGTTGAAAACAAATTTGAGAATAATAGGGAGGCAAAATTCAATAAATTCAATAGAACCTCTCCATTTATTAGAATAGTATCCACTAAGGTGCAGCGCAAATAAAACATCAACCAGCCAAACAAACAAAACAGACGGCTGTATATTTTCATAAAGGAAGCTATTCGCAAGGTTGCTGAAAAATCTTCAACAGCCCACGACCGGTTTCGCCCTTCTTGGGGCTCATCAAGTAGGTGCAAATGAGTGCATTTGTCAGCCACACCAATTGGGGTTCAAGTAGAACATAAGGTTGGCGGAAACTCGGGGACTGCGCCTATCTGACGAACCCCAAGAAGAGCGAAACCGGTCGTGGGCTGTCCAAGAGCTTTCAGTAAGCTTGTGAGTAGTTTCCATTATGAAAATATACTGCGATATTTCGAATATCGTACTAACTGAAACATGAGGCGGCTTTTGTGTAGCATATTCAGTTGAGGAACATCATAAACGGGAGATACACTTGAGTCTCTCGTGAAAACCAAATCGATTTGCAAGTGATTGTATTCGTCAAAAACAGACTGCTGTTTCAGATCATGCACTGTCTTGTATTCCCTGCCCATCTGATTTCGACCTAACACGCTTAACCTTCAAAACTATAGCGCACAGGTGATTCAAACACAATGTGATGAAATATCACGCAAGATCATATGAGCCCCTTTCTTCCTGGGCGACAAGGGGAGCTAATAACGAATAAAACACACGATCAACTGTGTCAAACGTACCCGAGCATCGGGGTAGTTATCGTGAAAGTAGGATGGACACCAATTGAGGATAATATAGAAGCAATTGTTGTGGACGAAATTCGCAAACAGCATGGCCCTGGAATGAAATGGTAAAGACATGTTGAGAGTAATTCAATGGAGGTCCCTGACATGACAAAAAACGTAACCGAAAAAAACTATAATCTTTGTGGAGGATAAGAAGTTTTAAATTGTCGAAAATACCAGGCAGTCACCGGCAATGCACACGCAACAAATCACTGGGATCAGCAAATCGTCTGTGTAAGCACAAAGCAGGACGGTTATTCAGACCACAAAAAGCAATGAAGTGGAATGGCTTACCAGAAAGACGGATGACGAAGAAACACAACCCAAGGTAATGGTCTTATCACAGCTATCTCATCGGATTTGGTTTTGTGTTTAGATGTCGGCGAAAACTGAGTGACCCCTGGACACTTGGCGATCTCTACAGCCTGTAAACAAGGAGAAAGAAACATGAGAATTCGGTAAACCAAACTTTCGCAATTGCCAAAAAAGTCGAATATATATACAGATGTATTTTCTTACGTTTTTTAAAGCTTAAATGAGAAAAACGAGGTGGCTGCTTCCACAGTGTATCCCCTTCCATCTTTATTGTTGGGTTTATCTGGATGGGCAGCAATAGCGAAGTTTCGTAACTCGTTTGAGATTCAAGTTATTCGGTGCCCACTAAGGTTTAGGGCTCTAGCAGATATCCGTGCGTCAGGGCAGGCAGCTAGAAAACTGCTACACACTGAAAGCAAGAGCTCAGCTAAAGCAGCACCAGCATGTGGCTGGACCATGTCCGGTAATTGGTCACAGGGTTTTGTGGCGTGGTGGTTGGAAGGAGAGGGAAGGATGCTAGAAGCACCATTACTGAACATTCGGTTGCCTTCAGGACTTTATACCGAGTACCCCAGAACTACTACCCAGTACCCCAGTACTATTATATACAGGTACCAAACAAAGCATGGTAAACACGATCGAGACAGTTGTCGTTCGTTTTCAAAACCCCCTCTGTGTAGGCGAAATTGATTTGTCCAAAGCCTCTTGGTATCTTGGCCTAGCCATAATCACAAGTTTGCGGCCCAATGGCTGACTGCTGAAATGGAACCATCTGACTTATACTATCCACAAAAGTTTATCAAACCAACAGAAATCGGTCGTTATGTTCTGTGATCGTTTTTGTGATAAAAAGGATAGGTACTTCACTTACGTTTCATGCTTGGCTATCTCACTTGGTATTGCTTTACATACACAGTCTATATTTAGCCGGGAATATCGGTAGATATGGCTGCCAGCTGATTTCGGTGGTATTCGTACTGACAGTTTCTGTCTACAAACTCTGAGTGACTGTTGTGAAGACGAGCAAATCCAAATACTTTCGTCGAGCTGACGCCATGTATCTCCGTCGGTTCTTCACTCCATTTTGATCATCCCAATCCAACGTACGGCACTGAAGTCCAATAAAGGCTACCAGCGGTGATGGCGATGGTGTGAGCACAGGTTTTCCCCCCGAATACCAGAAGCATTTGAAACTATCACAACCCATTAAAAACCTACATAGCTCCATGCTGAAGCACACAAATAGAGGAAGACAAAAGCAAAATCCACATAACCCACCTCAGAATTCGGAAGATGCTTTACCTCAGCCTGATCGGCCAGTATTGGTAGACCACTCGAACTTAACTGAACCGGAAAAATCAAAGAGGTTGAAACTTTCACTCTTTGAGGATTCATCAAGAAATGAACGGTGAGAGCCCAAAAACAACCGAAAAGACCAATCACAGCGAACGGTGCTCTCCATCCGTTGTTCGCCACAAGACTAGAGCCCAAAGAACCGCAAATCAGCGTGCTGCAAAATAAAGGCACATTTCCGGAACGTTGAATAGCTTCAAGAGAGGACCTGGTAGATGAAACGCCGTGGAAGTTGGCCGGGTGAAAACAAGGTTATTTGACCCGACTCAGAAAAACTTGGAGAATGTATCAAACCCACGTGAATTGAGGTGACTTCCCGTGGCGCATCTCTGTGAATACTGAGAGGCCTTTGAGCTTCGACTACTGACCTCAGATAGTTCACTCGGAGATAGTAGGAACACGGTGATGAAAAGCACCCTCACTTCGAGGGCAACTCCTTAACTCATGAGTTCGTTTAAGGACAGCACCTTTTGAAACAATCAAAAACCATGTAAGCTCAAAGGGCTTTGTTGAAGGTAATTGTGGGATTCCTAGAACTTGTCGTCACGTAATCCTCGGTGGAACACAGAAGAACCATGGGGATCGGCAGATGAACACTTTCTGCCGTTGTTAGTACAAGTTTATTGAAGAACAACAAGAATAAGGAGACTGTTCTTCATAAAGCATTTGCTACGCCCCATTCCAATTCCACAATAAAAGAGGTCTTAGCATAAATAGGTACGTCCCTTTGAGCAAGCATGGATTGGAAGAACCGAACAATCAACAGATTTGAAGGTTTTTTTTCATAAGGAGAACTACTCAGAAAGTTGCTGAAAACTCTTCTACAACCCAGGACCGTTTTCGCTCTTCTTGGGTCTCAACAGGCAGACCCAGTCTCCTAGTTTCCTTACGTTCTACTAGAGCGTAAATTACATAGATTTCGACAATTACTGTGATTTGCATATCAGTCGGGTTTTCACAAGAGACTCAGCTGAACCTCTCGTTTATGAGATTGCTGAAAATTTAGACAGCCACCTGATGAGTTCCATCAGGAAAATATAATGCACCGTCTCAAATGTCGCACCACGAAATATGAGACGGCCTTTGTGCAGCACATTCAGTTGTGAGATATCACAAATGAGAGATTCAGTTGAGTCTGCCGTGAAAATCAAATTGACATGTAAATGAAAGCTTTTGTCGAGATTTGAATGCTATTTCAAAGTCAAGGTTGTAACCATCCCACAGATATGACGCTGTTGTCAAACTTGACGGTGCAAATAGCTGATTTATTTCATCCCCAAACGGTAGGAATATCGCCCCGTGTATTAGAGGTTGATACTGCCTTAGTGTGAATCACTATAGCACTCCCTCTAGTACACTTTTAAAAGATTAGTACTATTAAGCATTTGTTCTATTGGCCTGGGACAGTCTCTACAAAATTAACTCTTGAGTTGAACAGGATATGACTGAGATCTTCACTCAATTTTTTTGCACAGAGCCAGTAGGGAATACATGGGGAAAAATGAGGCGATGATTTGAGGAGAGGTACAGAAGGGATTTCCAGATTCAGTTCGCAAGTTTCTGTTTGAACAGCGCCTGTAATTCACTCCAATGGTTGTTAAGAATGTCCATTAAAGTATTCCCTACCAACACACGGAATTCGGTACCGGCTCACATTTAATAACACTTTATAAGGACGTACATTCTTTTGAAGTGCGTTTACAGGTCAAGGGTTTAAAATTCATTGTTGCCGGATATATAATATTACCTTACAAGTTTTGGCAAATCCTGTTGGGCAGAAACGAACCTCACCAAAACGAGTCATTATAACTGGGACAGGAGTTTGCTCACAAACATCAAGCCTAGAGACTCACCCCAAGTGCGTCCCAGCGTTCAGTACGGCATGTGTGAAATTCCTCTCGCTCGACCGAACGCGTTTGGCCATTAGACTCACCAAACTGGGGTAATAAAAACCTGAAGGAATGTAAGTTAGCACAGACTGGTGAAATAACCGGAGCCATCAAAAGTGAAAAGGAACGTCGAGTATTGAAGTTATCACAGTTAAAAAGCGCGAATAGCTTGCGCTTGCAGTATGACCTGAGACACGGTGATGAGCGTACGACAGAAATAAGTCCACCGGAATCTAAGGTTATTGAACTCACCTGCAAGTGTCGAACAGCAGTGAGTTATAAATTATATTCGACATGTTTAATCCATGACGATCCGTCAACGTACACACAACCAAAGTTCACCTGATTTGCCAATGTAACGAGCAAGAGGTCCGACCGATAAACTAATACATAGCACCAGGACAACATACAAAGCATCTGTTTGGGACTAAAACATGTAAATGAAAGCTTTTGTCGAGATTTGAATGCTATTTCAAAGTCAAGGTTGTAACCATCCCACAGATATGACGCTGTTGTCAAACTTGACGGTGCAAATAGCTGATTTATTTCATCCCCAAACGGTAGGAATATCGCCCCGTGTATTAGAGGTTGATACTGCCTTAGTGTGAATCACTATAGCACTCCCTCTAGTACACTTTTAAAAGATTAGTACTATTAAGCATTTGTTCTATTGGCCTGGGACAGTCTCTACAAAATTAACTCTTGAGTTGAACAGGATATGACTGAGATCTTCACTCAATTTTTTTGCACAGAGCCAGTAGGGAATACATGGGGAAAAATGAGGCGATGATTTGAGGAGAGGTACAGAAGGGATTTCCAGATTCAGTTCGCAAGTTTCTGTTTGAACAGCGCCTGTAATTCACTCCAATGGTTGTTAAGAATGTCCATTAAAGTATTCCCTACCAACACACGGAATTCGGTACCGGCTCACATTTAATAACACTTTATAAGGACGTACATTCTTTTGAAGTGCGTTTACAGGTCAAGGGTTTAAAATTCATTGTTGCCGGATATATAATATTACCTTACAAGTTTTGGCAAATCCTGTTGGGCAGAAACGAACCTCACCAAAACGAGTCATTATAACTGGGACAGGAGTTTGCTCACAAACATCAAGCCTAGAGACTCACCCCAAGTGCGTCCCAGCGTTCAGTACGGCATGTGTGAAATTCCTCTCGCTCGACCGAACGCGTTTGGCCATTAGACTCACCAAACTGGGGTAATAAAAACCTGAAGGAATGTAAGTTAGCACAGACTGGTGAAATAACCGGAGCCATCAAAAGTGAAAAGGAACGTCGAGTATTGAAGTTATCACAGTTAAAAAGCGCGAATAGCTTGCGCTTGCAGTATGACCTGAGACACGGTGATGAGCGTACGACAGAAATAAGTCCACCGGAATCTAAGGTTATTGAACTCACCTGCAAGTGTCGAACAGCAGTGAGTTATAAATTATATTCGACATGTTTAATCCATGACGATCCGTCAACGTACACACAACCAAAGTTCACCTGATTTGCCAATGTAACGAGCAAGAGGTCCGACCGATAAACTAATACATAGCACCAGGACAACATACAAAGCATCTGTTTGGGACTAAAAATAAAATGAAATAATTCTAAATGACAGCCATATCTGTATCACGCGGCCTTCTCCAGTTCTCTTATTTAAATTCAAAGCGCAGTAATCCCGCAAAGGGCGAGCATCTTGAAAATAAGATAAACCACTTACTCGGCGGAATACCGGCTTTAAGGACTCTCTAGTCTTTTCATAGCCCACAAATAAAATATTCAGCTCAATGGTTACCAAGTAAAGATATCATTCCAATTACTTATTACAGTGAGTGGTGAAATGTTCAGAAGTTTCCCAACCGCGTACGCAACAAATGCCATGATGGTATCCTCGGATGTGGAAATTCTTAAGTTGAGCCCAACTGAAACGGAATGAAGCATAATTACCGGAAGTAAAGGTTTGACGAGAAAATAATTGACTGTATTCAGAAGCTCAAAAAGAGCCCTATAGAACAAATCTATTGTTCTACTTTTGGCATGACGGCTAAGCTCGGGAAATTAACAACAAACTCCAGGGTTAACACTAAAAAGCCAATAGATACCCAGATTTTTCATCAGAAAGCTTCACGGCGTCCGTAGTTTGCTACAAACATCCGTAAAAAACAGCGCATCAGCGACTAATATTACCCGACAGACACAAATGCAGCACTAAACGTATGCCGAAATGACGACACAAACTATCATGATCCTGTTCAGTAGCCTGATGACAGCATATTTCACAAAATCGGCTGAGTCGAAAGGGTTCACAAAGGTCAGTAACAACGTCGTCATTTTCGGTCTCGGACAGGGCCATTCAGAAGTGACATACAAAATAATCGCTCGAAATGCCATACACGATGACAATTGTACTTCTGGTGCATACTGCCCGGTGTCCACTCCACAATGCTTGTCAGGGCGATCTACTGCTGTCAGTTTTCGCTTGCGTGGCTGAGTAACAAGGGTAACAAGTACACATAATTCTGGGCGAAAAACAGTCAGCTGCAAATTGGGTTCACGTAAGGTTATGAAACACCCATGTTACTCCCTTTTGCCTGATACTTCACGAGAGGTTGTCGCTGTGATGAACAACATAAATATCGTCTTTTAGTCCGTGACATTCGAAAACAGGGAGACTGCGAAGTTCAAATCGGTGAAGTACCCAGTTCCAATAATGAGTCTGCAGGCGAGATATTGGTGGCAAAGTCGTCTGTTATGATTTTTCCACTCTGAGCAAGCTTACTAACCATTAATCGCGGAACTATATCTTCCTCTGACCTGCTCGTGGTCAGAAGATTCAAAGCAAAAACCACATTGTGCACATACTATGAATCCACTAAAATCGAAATCTAATTCTATATTTGTTTAGTTCATCTGACATGCAAGTGGCAAGCCTCTATTTGGTTTTCAAGGGAATCCTTCGTTCATCAACTGCGAGGGCAAAATGAAGAGGATATACGCATCGGTGGTTACTATTTACCTATCTTGCTGCTCATACGATCAGTAGATCAGATGTGTCGGTTGATTTTGCAGCATCAATCCCCAACCAATAAACTTCAGAACATCTGGGACACAGCAAATTCAGCCGAGACGAAACCCACTTTTTCCATGCGGTCCACGACTGTCTGACAAAAATTTCAAGGTTTTTCAGTGTTATTTACATTCAACTTCCAGTAGGTTTAACGGCATTCAAGCAGTGACGAGTAGATCGAATGCGTCATATGCACCACGAATACAACACTGATGCTCTTTTCCCATTCGAAGAGAATATTGATGTAATGGTTTAATGATGGCCTATCTCAACAATTCGGTTGCAAACCTTCCATCAACAGTTCAAGTGACATCATCAGCGCGTTGTGAGTGGAGCCTCAAAACTGAATAAATTAGGCCATGGTCACGTACGAACAGACTGGTAAGACAAATAAAATCAATTTTTCATTCTCTGAGGCTCTTTACTGAGCTAAATTGCGTCCTTATTCCTCATCCAAACTAATGCAGTAGAACGTAAAGACAGCCGGCGAAAAGTGGTCACTCGAGTAGGATGAGCACCGCATAGGGTGCATAGTTTATTTACATAGACAATCGCGTCCACCGCCAATGTTAGAAAGGAATGACCTAGATGGATACCATTAAATGAGCGTGAGTGTCAATTTTGCTTCCAGCTGTTGCTCACTTATCGCTCCGCTTCGGAGGTTGGGGCTTAGCTGGACCAATCGAAAACGGTCACCGCAGTTGCTCAGCTCCAAAAACCGCACACTTCAATGAACTAGTGGACGACCGTGACCGCCGGTACATTATTCAGTACGGTTGAAGTGCTTTTACAACCAAAGAGTTCGGTGCTGCCCAAAAGGCACTTGCTGTGAGGAACGGCATTAGGAGTGAAACAGTAAAATGCATTACTTCCTTAATCATCAGGCAAGATCGGCCTCCTGCGGCCGATTGAATCAGAATATTGAGTCAATGGCTCCAGGAACCGTCTCCTAAGAAAGCCCTGACAACCACTGCTTCGTGGTCCGGACTTTTCAGTCGGAGACTAGAGACAGGGTCTCCGAACAAAACCCTATATCCTACCAAAGCCATGTGGGTCAGACTTTTCAGTCAAACGCTCAATGTGGAGTAGTTCAAATAAACCCTCTTCTTCGGCGTGGGAAACCGAGAAGTATCATTCACCCTGCTGCTCTTCGCTCACATCCCCCCCCCCCCCACAATCCCTTCCTGCCGGTTGAACGATCCAGTGCCATCAATTCCCTAGCCATTGTTTCGTAACTAAACCACCACCCAGAAGGAACAAGAAAAATCGCCTACTAATCTCAAGAGTTCTGATCCAAACTGTGGTCTTTAGCGTCAGTACTCCATGTCAAATTGGGTAACCAGGCAACTCTTGCTGATACTTTACTTTTCCTATCTGTCTATGTACATTGTGTCCCCGAAACACGCACAAAAGATCCCACCTAGGTCATACACCTCAAAATGTTTGAGACGAGCTCAAATGTTCCACATTTCACTATTCGGGTAGCTGATGATCCTGAAGCGATGGCTCCTGATATCTAGAGTGTGGGGGTTGCACTCAGCCTCAAGACCAAAAGCGCCCTGGATCCTAGTAAACAGTTGTCTTCGCGCTGCGCGATTGTCCGGCTCAATTAAGACCAATGCAAATCGATTCAGCAAACGGTGTTTAACTGTCGTATCAGCATAATCCCCGACGGACTGCAGTTCTGACACTGAAAAGGCTGAATGATATGAATGAACAGTTTGAATGACTAAGTTCGGAAGAAACACAGTTAAGTGGTAGATTTGGATTCAATGCTTAGCGTACCGATAATGGCGATCAACTGCTTCATTGTATGCTGACCATTCTGTTCGTGGCCAGCACAAACCTCGAACACAAAAGGTCATCGAGTGACTTGAAGGCCACCAACAGCAAGACAGCCATACTCACTTGGACTATATGTGTATCAATTACCGACGAAGAGCTCCAATTAAAGATCGTCGTTCCTTCTAAGTTCGGAAACAGTTAAGTGGTAGATTTGGATTCAATGCTTAGCGTACCGATAATGGCGATCAACTGCTTCATTGTATGCTGACCATTCTGTTCGTGGCCAGCACAAACCTCGAACACAAAAGGTCATCGAGTGACTTGAAGGCCACCAACAGCAAGACAGCCATACTCACTTGGACTATATGTGTATCAATTACCGACGAAGAGCTCCAATTAAAGATCGTCGTTCCTTCTGGGGTATGTAACTTGACTCTGATCATGTCATTATGCGGGCACTGTTACCACTTCACTTTCCGTCAGCAGTACATGTGCCAAGACAGAACAACTACATTCACTAACTTCCATAAGTTTCAGCAGCTTAAGAGTAGCGAGTTTTCCTGGCTAGAAAGCCACAGGAAAAGCACAACTATGTGGATGACGAACATTGCTCGGAGGTTGAATGAAAGCAAGTGGAAGCCATGCTCCCAGCTCGATTGAATGAACACTGGATATTGTCGAGATCGGCAGATCTCATTGCTGCCAGGAAGGCCATACCAGCAACTGTGATGGCGCTCGCAAATCCCTCAAACACCGGATAATCAAGAGCTTGAAGAATGACGGAGAACGCTGGTAGATTACGCAGGAGAAGCGAAAAACTTTCACTTCAGGCAACAACCACTTCAGCTGATTGGATCACCCAGTTAAAAAAGACAAGTATCAGCTAAACGATATGCGAAAAAGATTGAACGGCAATGCACTCAGAGAATTGTCTTGAGCGATCGGATGAGTGCTTCAAAGGACAGTTCACCTGGTCTCCTCCAACAAAATCGCTGGAGGAACCCAATGGGGCTGAATGGCGTATCGATACCATTAAAAACAAAAATCCAGCGTGAGATATCAATCTTCCAACGCGACAACACATCTGGATCGGATAGTCTGCATCCCACACTCTTCAAAGAATCTAGCGAGGTTTTAATGAATAGTCTGACAATCACACTGCAGACGATTTGGGACGAAAGCAAAATACCAGTTAAATGCAGCTCCTCGACCGTTATCCTAGTTTTCAAAAAGGGCGCAAAAAGGTCATGTGAACATCATCGTCGCATCAGCCTGGTACTCGTCGCATCAAAGATGCTCTTTGCATTATTTTGCGATCGATTGTCGGGGGAGACAAATTCTTGAGAATCAAGCTGAGTTTCGCTCTGGTCGAGAATACATCCACCGCATCCTTACCTGAAGACAAATTCTTGAACAGCACCACTCTTTCAAACATATCATGTTTATCGTTTTGCCTCATATGGAAGCCGCTTTCGACTGCGTCGATAGTTACGGACTTTGTCGGTGTCTGGCAATCAAAAGGGTCCCTTTCAAATTTACATTCCTTATGAGGGCTTTGCAACCTCTGGAACCTCGAGGATCGAAATGCTCTCGGGCGTTCGCTCACAGACACTAAATATACTGACCATATTGCTCCCCTTGACTCAGGTCCCTCAAAAATGCAAACATTCTTCAAGAAACCAAATAACTGCCGCACGGTTTGACATGTGCTTCACACCTGCACACTGTTAAGTGCTTCTACAAGACTGGATGGGGCCAAACCTAAATCTTATGTTTGCAGGTAAGCCAACGTGGTAGATGAATTTATTTACCTAGGCAGTCGTATAATTTCCGGCGAACTGGTTGGAGATGAGATTACTTATCAAATCGGGAAAGCCAAGACAAATTTTGCCAACCTGCGACACCTATGGCGCCGAGGTGACGTCAGTTTGTATGTCAAGGGCGGAGTGTACACTGCAACAGTGCGATCCATACTGCTTTATGGATAAGAGAGGTGACCCCTACGATCAGAAAGCATACGAGAGATGTCAGTGTTTGACCATCAGTGACCCCCACTTTCCGGTGATCGAAACTGTAGCAGCCTATTGTACAAGGTTTATAGCTGATAAGCTGGACTGACTGAGTGCAATAAGCGCAATACGGGACTGAACAAAAGTAAAACAATGGGGATATACCTTGAAACACCCCAAGAGAGAACCGAATGAAGACGAACAGAGTGAAGGTCGTAGCGGAGTCGGGTGAGATCTGAGGAATGTACACGAAGGAGAGAGTGAGGAAGGACCAGACAAATGATGTGCACGGAATTACTCGTTCACCACCAAGCCGATCACTGAGATAACCAGCCAGAAATTGTGTCAGAGCGTAGCCCCAGAAGAACACTCCCATGACCATACCCTGAAACAAAGAAAGCAGAGAAAATCGTGAGGTTCAAAACAGTGCAGAACAATGAAACAAATACCGAGTTTTGAGGAACTAGGAGTTCTAACAGATCATGTGTGACAAATTAACTAAAATCATAAACGTGTAAGACATTTGCTAACGCATCAGAGACACAAAATCAGTTTGGACAACATAAAAAAAACGTTTTGGAGATCACAACTCCACTTATGAGTGAAAAAGTCTATTAGGCTGGCGAAAGTCACCAATCGTTTTTCGGCGAAGATAAAAATAGTTCGGCTGTGGTATTCCGTCACTGCATGGCTGACATGCAGGCGAACAAAAGCAAGACGGCCGGAATATGGTCAAGAACAGACAGCGGGCAAAGAAGAGACCGGAGCTCTCAGTCAGTAGCATGAACCTTAACATTCATCACGATTGTTGGCTCAAATATGCATTGGTACTTAACTGTCAGACAACCACGGGGAAAGGTCTTAACAAAGGGCAGAAAAAGGGAATGGTAAGAAGGTATGCGAAGAAGCTGTGTGTCCCTAAAGAAGACGACCAAGAATAAGATGCTTACGTGTTTGGATAGCAGTGAAATAAGCACATCGGAGCAGCATATCGAGTTACGGCGTCATCAGAATTCACTTAGCGTCCCTTGAGTACCCCACCAGGCAAAAGCACAATGCACAAGAACAGGAGCACTTTAGTTGGAAACGGCAGCTTGGGAATGGTATCACGAGCATCATGGATTAGCTGGGTGCTATGTCCTGCAGGGTTTCCAACTACCTGCAAGCAGAATCATGTGAGCTCTAGCTAGAAAAGTGCAAAGACCCCACTAAATTAGGGTGACAGTAGCCGCATTTGGTTCACGTTGCTGTGTCATTACCTGTCCCCCGAGAACCTCCCGTCAACAATCGCTCGGAACAGAAAACAGCGTTTTCTTTGCGAAGGCAAATAACCGTCAAACAACAGAACGATGCCATCCACATAATCCAAGTTCAATAATCTCCCTTCAGATGTGATCTCGGTACCTAGATTCATGGTCCCTTGGGATAAGTAAAGTAAAGTTGACCAAAAGAGAAAATATGGAACAATCCTGACAAACACCACAGGCTGTCACTAATCTCCTGGAACTCCACATGACTGGAGAAGTGGGAATGAAGGGCATGCAGAATGTTAACGAACTTCAATGGCAATTCCTTAGGGTCAGGAATATTTAGGACAGCCACTTTATCCACAGAGTTGAAGGCTTCTCAGAAGTCGAAGAAAATCACGACTGTTGTGTCAGTGATATACGTGGTCCGCCCAAGTCCTTGACGTAATATAAAAATATGACCAATGCACACTCCACCCGGCAGAATTCCTGCTTGATGCTCTTGGACTCCCGTCTCAGTTGCCGAAGACAGGCGCATAAAAGAACATGCGTAGTATAAGGGAATCAAGTACCCCTGTTGCAATAATCATAAGGGAAGGGACGATCACTTAGGACATTGTTCGTGAACACGGATATGGTCAACCGTTGACCCCAACACTCTGAAACACGTCCTTGTTCCCAAATAATTACGAACGACCCAATCAAAGTGAAACGCAAAGATTCTGCTTCATCTTTGAACAATGCTAAGGGGAGCTCATTCAGCCTAGCCTGGCACTTCAAGACAGAAAGAAGTAGTTTTTCTTCAAGTAAAGAAGGATTTTAATTCGCAAAACACGGATTAAAATGGGGAATGAATAAAATACGCAAGTGCACGGGGACAAGAAGGTAACTAGGCTATTTTTGAAAAAATTCCGCTCAGAAATCTAGACATTGTTCTGTACTACATACTGTACTCCCAATGTTATCTTTGATTAACTCACTAGCGAAAAGCTTTTTAGACCTCGATTCGGAGATAACCACCAAACTAAATTGTACGGCGTCAATCACTGACCAGCTGCGCGAACAACGTTGTCCAACAGCTGGTTGGTATGTCTGTGATTTTATGGGCATCCACCGCAGCCAACCCACTCTTCAGGCACCAATAAAACCCAGGGGCTTCTTCCCCACCGCACCGGACTGGCGCATTGCGGGTGCTGCCTGACGAGTCCGAACAATGCAGTGCAAACTGCATTTGTAGGACACTCGGGGTAGACAGTACATCAAATTCACCAGTTTCACCTTTCAGAAAAAACGAAGCCTACTCAGGTGGCCGACATTGATCTAGAGACACGGTTAGGTGACATTTTGCGGAAAGAATTAAAACTCGTGCGCGTCGTGCTCCAAGGCAATGATTTTCTTCGAGACGTTTATCGGGTAAAACCCCACATTAAAACCACAGGGCCCTCCAACAACTTCCGTAAGGACGAAGAACCCATTCCTCAACCTACCGCCCAAAGGTAAAGCAGCAACTGGTATACCAATAAGAAGACTCAATGGTGCCACTAAAGCAACTTCCCACACTGCTAATGCTTCCGCTGAATAATAAGGGCAAGCTACCGGGACTGGCTTCATACACGGACGTCTGTGACACTTTCTACGTCGGTCACAGGACCGTCATATTGACGTTCGTACCCGTGAGCACTGTCCAAAATGCATGTCTGGTAGCAGCGCAGTATCGTTTAGAAGCGTCATCAATGCCCATGTGATCTACAGAGGCCATAGGGTAGGTAAGGATACTGCTTTTAAACTCGTTTAGAGTCCCTCACTACCCATCCAAATATGTACATACAATCACCCTGGAAACAGCTTAATCAACTTTTATTAGGCTGCGATCACCCAGACTTTGCAAACAAACAAGGTTAACGAAGACTCTCCTGCTAAACTAGCCACATGTTCTGGATAGCAGTAATGGGCTCTCGGATCAAACATCAGTAGAAATGTGACAGCAGTGTGCATGCACCCGTATGCACAGGCCTTTGAATGGAACCCAGTGAATTTTTCTTCTTGCTGAGTACTTGTTGTTTGTTGTCTCCCCGTCTTCCACCGACTTATCAGATAAGCGTCACTGAACGACTGAATGATTAAAAGCAACACATAGATGTTCTCTTCACCCTCAGTTCACACTCCTTTGAGTTTCGACCAAGGCCTGTTACAAAAGCGCTAGGAAGTGCCCGATTGACAAGGCCGACTTATACAAAGTAGATGTCCATCTTCCACGGCATAGAGGACTGTAGTCGAAAAGCATGGTCTGCAAGCCCAACACTGGATGCAAATTGCGCTTGTGTATATGGTATTTTAACCTCATGCTTTCTCCGGGTTACGGAGCAGCTAAGTGCCAAGGAGGTACCGTTTGCAGCTGGCCGATGGTTTGTGGACAACAACCCATATACCATTGAGACACAGATCAGCGAATCACGCAGTCTACGCCGAGACCTAACTTATATTACCGTCATCATGTTTCAAAAATGGAAAGCAAAACTAACTCACTGTCTCCTGTCGGTTCCACTGAAGTTCACTTGAAAGCGAGACCGAACAGATGGGAAGAACTGTACGGGATGCATAAAGACTGATGGAACCAATGAACAAAACAAGCATCCAGCTGCGGCGCTCCTTCCTGGAAAAAAGTCACAGTAGTACAGTGGAAATATTCTCTAACTTTACCCAGAAATGTAGTAGCATGAGAGTCAATTGAGGTGAGTGAACTGTTCAAGTACATTGTGAGTCGAAAGCTCCCGGAAGTTGGAAGCGAAAAAGAAACAAGCATAGAGGAAACAGAAGATAATCGGTAAAAGACAGTTTGACACAGTGCGCGTCAATTTTCTTCGTAAAAGGTGAACCACTACCCGAGGTGAGAACTATCAAGCACAAAATCCGGTTCACTTGGAATTGGAGGTATTGCTTTCTCAAGTCAAAACGAAACCAGATAACAGACAAATATATAATCATTTCCATCAGAAGTCAGTGACTAAACTAAGAAAGCAGAGTGGCACAACTGTGCCGGGATGTAAGGGGTGTTTTTGTATTATAGAAAGCAATTTAGACCTTTGTAACGCAACGCAAAGTTCATGAGGCATACTATAATGAGAGCGCTATGGGTTTGTTAGGCCTTGGTATCAGTTGCCTGGTCAGTATGGAGCATAAATGCACAGAACTCAACAGAACGGGAATCTTAGGTACTTCGCGTGGTACTGGCAGCATCAACATAAAAATGTTCATTTCGGTCACTGGATGTGGCCGAGACAATACTCCACAATACTCCATAAGTGCACATGTTAAACTACGGCGAGAGCTCTGTCAGGCGCTGTGTTCTCTCCGCAGGGAACAAATGGTTGAAGAAACGGAACTTAAGAAAACCGTGTGCCGCTGTTTGAATCTACACCCAAACAGTATTCACTGTATTGTCTAACGGATCATAACGCCAGTGCTCAACTGCTGCTACACAGAGGGATTACCGGGGATGAATGGACGTTATGTAAGCCTATTATAGAGAGTGAACGGCATTCAACAAGATGATCTGGGCACCACTGGTAGTTGGAGGGGTTACAGTCCCACCATAGGCCATATCGTCGTCCAGCTGTAGCATCCTCTCGGTGCCCAGCTGCCATGCCACACCAAGGAGGCACGAGGACTGGGATACTGCCAGGTCGCCCAAGCCTAGACAGGGGAAGTCGAGTGGCAGAGGTCGGGTTCGAACCACGCACCTTCCGGTCGGTAAATTCGCGCTCTAACAACTTGAGCCATCTCGACCCCCATAGGCCATATGGTCACGAAATTATCTAACCGATGCTGGTGACTCCTAGACACAAGGAAAATACCTGTACACAATGTTAAAATAGGCATGAATATACATGTAAGGGTACAAAAGAACTCACGTGTTCCACATTCGATAACACGTAGATAGTAAAAGATTACAACTCAGGGATCACAAGTCAGCACCGATTCGTGGCCTCTGTACACATATGAAGGTGGACGTAGAAAAATAAACTACCGCACCATACGCAGATCCTGGAATCAGTAGACAGCGGAGAGGGTCAAACTCAGAATAGATGCGTGCAAACGGAAGAATATTGTAGGATAGGAAAAAGTGTATTGTAATGACTAGCTTCGGCCATCATATAGACGATAGAGGAAATGGTGCACAAACTACCATCACTTAAATCAGAAATGGTTCAATTTGAGCTATCCGGGCAGCCTTCTTCTGACTAAACGATGATCCTGTTTAGGAATGGCCTGAGTGTGACACTGCAGTTCATTATGAGATGGTGCTGCAACCTCAACTGCACATCACTAATACATTGGATACACGCTTCGTAGGGGCACTTAGCGTCCCCTTACCACTACGTTGCCATGCGGACATATAGTTCTTATGATTATTATCCAGTGGCAGTGAGCTTCAATTCTTTATTATGGACACCCCCAAAAGTGGGGTCAAATGCAGTAAAACGTTTACCACCTCTCACCATGATCACCATTGTCAGCTGTAAGAACCGCGTACTTGTCGTACAGTGGTTGTAGCTGCCACTTTCGTTCACCGATGGTTTGGGGAAGTGGGGTAGATAGCTGCACATTGGAGGTGGGAGCCGATAGATTGGTGCGTAAATACAGTACTGTCAGTGGACTGTCAAGTGGGTGGATTGGGAATGGAGCTATGCACTGAATGCAACAGATCGGATGCACGAGCGCAATTGAGGGCGCGACTGGACCGTGTCTGACAATGTCTCTAACCATTGATGTGGCCCGCCTCATGGTCCCCCTCCAGGAAGACGGCAATGACAAGCGCAGCTAATTTTGTTGTTAATGGCTTTTGTCCCTCGCTGTCAAGTCATTGGTTGACCGCTTCTGGCTCGTTTCCACCCTTCACGTAGTTGTGCTTCGAGACTTCGGGAAAGTCGATCGTCTGGCATGCGCCTCACGTGGCCAAGCCAGCGCAACCGATTCACTGTGATCAGTCCATCTATCGAGGATGAGTTATTTCTTTCGAATACCATTTAGCGCACTTCGGCATAGCTTATCCGTTGTTCCCACAAGACTCCGGCAACACTCCGAAGACATCGAAGGTCAAACACTGGAAGTCTTTTGACGTCCTCAGCGCGAAACGGCCAGGATTATGATCCACATAGCAGCATGGAACGAGCCGCAGTATTGTAAACTCGACCGTTGACGGACAGCCTGACGCAGGTCCACAAAAGATGCTTTGTCTTTCCCAATCCGAATGGAAATATCCCCTTCCGCGAGACCATCGGAACTGATACAGCTGTCCAGATAGACAGGTTTGTCTACTACTTCAATCGGTTTACCTCATCCGCAAACATGAGGCTAGGGTCCAAGCCCACTCAGTTTTGCAGTAGCATCCTACACTTTGCAGGTGTGAAGCGCATGCCAAACCGTGCAGCGGAATTAGTTAGATTGTACGATATTGTTTGAATTACCACGGGGTCAGATCCCAGAAGGGCCATGTCGTCTGCGTACTCGATGTCTGTGAGCGGACGTCCAGGGGGCACTTCGATCCCACAGACAGTAGAGGCTGATAGTGAGTCTTCCATGATTATATCAATGACGAAGTTGAAAACGAAAGGTGAAAGAGCACAGCCCTGTCTGACATCACTTAGTGTGGTGAACTCAGGCGAGAGCTCCCCGTAGACTTTCAAAAGGACGCGGGAATTGGCGTACAGCGCCTTAAAGAGGGTCAAGTATTTGGGGGACACCTTTGCTCTGCAGACACTGCCATAGTGCCTGACGGTTCAAAGAGTCACAGGCAGCTTCCAGATCACGTGGGTTGCTGGAAGCGGTGTCGCTGTTCAAGAATTAGTCGGAGAGTGAAGATATGATCGATGCATCCTCTTGCAGGACGGAACCCAGCTTGGTTTTCAAGGATCTATCTCTCTCTGTATTTAGTCAACCTTCAGAGGATAAGACCAGAGAGCACCTACGATGCCACAGCTAATAGGCTGATGCCACAGTAGTTTTCACACAGCGTCCGCGTACCTTTTTTGAAGATAGGGATAACTGTCGACATTCTCCATTCTGCAGACATCTCTCCGTTCCATATCGCACCGATATGCTTTGTCAGATGAATCGCCAGAGATTCTCCACCTACTTGGAACAAAGCTGAATAGAGACCGTCCGGTCCTGGTGCCTTCTCACGTTTTGGCACGCATATTTCGTACTTTATTCCTTCTTCCGACGGGCGATCACTGTCTACATTCCATTCACCTGTATGCACTATCTCTACAGGTTGTGTTGCAGGTGGCCAGCTGAGCTGTTCTTCGAAGTGTTCGACTCATCTTTTTAGTCGACATTTTTGCGAGTGAATTATTGGGACAACTTTTTTATTTATCGTTCCGCTGACCGTTGCTTTCCTACAGCCAGTCGATCGTATCAGTTGATATAGGGCACGGCTGTTACCCGTAGCAAACGCCTTGTCCATCTCCCGAGCTTTCGATGTCCATCAGAGATCTCGGTCTTTCGACCGCCCAAATGTGATTCTAAGCAGCTAAGACGATCTACTTGAGCATTCACATCGCCTCCAAAGACCGCAGTGTCAGTGCTTTTTGTCTGATGAATGGGTCCGGATAGGCATTGAGCTTGATTGAACTGGATAACCGGACAGCGCAAAGACGACTGTTTACTGGGATCCAGTCTGGCAAAGCGCGCTCAGCTCTGGGGCTGAGTGCAGCTCTCATGCCATATATTCCATGAGTCGTCGCTTCTGCGTCACCGGACACACGGGGTGAGAAGTGTGAAAGAGCTGAGTTCATCCTCGGCGTTCTGAGATGCATAACCAGGCTTTGGTCTTTATACGTATTTCAGAGACACAACATATATCAATTTTAATGGACTATAAGGTTTCAGCAAGCATTGCCCGTTTGCCAATTTGACACAGAGTACGGACGTTAAAAGCTTATATATAGAAAAGATCTCGAGGATTTAGAAGGGTGTTATTTTGTTTACTGTTATTAGGCAGCAAGGAGCATAAGACCCTTCGGTCAGCTAAGTGACAGTAAAGTAAACTAGTGATGTTTGCTTGAGTGGCGGGAGGGGGTTGGGGAGGGACACCGGTGGACGCCGAACTGCGCGGGCAAATGATACTTTCCGGTTGCCCAGGCCGAGGAAGGGGGCCTGGTTGAGATACTCCACCTTGCGCGTTGGACTCAAAAGTCGGACCCACAAGGCAGTGAGAGGATGTAGGGTTTTGTTCGGAGACCACGCCCCTAGCCTCTAGGTAAAAGACTGACCCACGAGACAGCGGACAGCAGGGCTTTCTTTGGGGACCCTGCCCGGAGCCGATGACTCAACAGTCTGACCTGCTCGGCTACAGGGGGTTGGCTTAACCCGAGGGCGCAGGGAATAGGGTATTGTGTCTCATTCCTGATGCGGCTGCGCACAGCAGCTGCATTTTGAGCAGCACCGGGTTCTGGTTTTAAAAGTATTTCGACCGCAGTGGATCACGCGCTGGTGGTCACGATCAACCGTTGGGCGACTGGAGTGTGCGGATTTGGGGCCCACCTTTTCTAACCCTTCCTTCTTCGAGGGAAGACAGAATCGCTGCTTCCATAAATATGGACATGCTGTTCATTTGGGGGGAGCACCTTACTGCCTTCACACTCCTGTCGCAGAGCACAGTACGACTTTACCCCCAGACCGCCTCGTAGCACGATGACTCGTAATACGGGGTCTCCCCAGTAAACACGTCACCGCGGCACCACCGGTGGTGCCATCGGTGGCAAGCGTAACATGCCACCCCTATTTGCCACCTCTTGCCACCGGTGGTGCCGCGGTGACGTGTTTACTGGG